CGCAGGGAGTCGCGCCAGCATCCAGGCAGCCCTCCGCACCCTGCTCACGGCGCCGTGGCCCTCACAGCGGGACGTCCGGTCGTGGCTGCAGCTCCTTGCTGTCCTCCAGTGGGTCCTCAGCTTCCTGCTCCTGGGTGAGTGGAAGCACCCAGCCCCGGCCTCCCATTGCGGCCAAGGGCATGAAGGGGACGTTGCATCCACAGGACGCTGGTGTTTCATGGCCACGAGGGATGGGGCAGTTTCTGGATGCACTCTTGCGTTGTCGCCAACTGGGATTCGACTGAGGCTTCATCCCATCTCACGGGAGGAAAAATGCTCTCATGCCTCAACCTAGGTGTTTGCTGGGCTTTATTGGAACATGGGAAAGTTGTGTCCAGGTGTGGGTGGCTCTGAGGACAGATGTCGCAAGCTGGCCAGGCGGGCACACGCTCACCCCTTCTCCCCGGCTCTCGCAGGGGTGGTCAGTCTGCTTCTGCTCATCTACCTGGTGTTCACCAGCTTCTGGCCCATTTCCGCCCTGTATCTGGCCTGGATCATCTTTGACTGGGACACACCAGAAAAAGGTATGGATGGACACAGCCCTGTCTTTGTAGCAGGACAGAGATGTCCTCCAGGAAACGTGAGGTTTCACATTTCTCTACCTGTCACTGAATTACCTCCGGGTTGCCTGTGGCATGGTAGTGGGGCTAATGCAGAGAGAAGGAGAAGGTGATGTGATAATTTGTGCCACTGGGTGCATCAAAGCCTTCGTGTCAGTCTGCACGTATAGCTTGCTGGCTTTTGGGCAGCGACCCATGTGAATAGCTAGTTGCGCTCATGGTAAAGGTAAGTATAGCGATGTTGGTCCAGAGCAGATGCACCACAGGGTCCCCATCCCAGCACGTTGGACTGAGCGTGCCGTGTCCTGTTTGCTCCTTCAGTCTTCTCTTCCCTGATCAGCCCCTTCCACAATGAACAGCCTTTCCACCACAACGGTCTTCCTTCCATCTACAAATTTAATCGGGGTAGAAAAAGAGGAATGTGTTACAAGTTGTTAAGCAGGACCATCAGAGTGGGTTTACTTACCACCGTTGGTGTGTGTTTGCAGGCGGGAGGAGGCTGGCGTGCTTGCGGAAATGGTCCGTGTGGAAGCATTTCCGAGATTATTTCCCAGTCCAGGTAAGCTGTGGATGGGCAGGCAAGGGGCCAGGGCGTTTGTGCCACGGGCACCCAGCTGATCTCCCTGCCCTGAGCCCTGGTGCGAGCCCAGCTCCCTGAGGAGCAGCTCCAGTGGGAGCTACCTCCCACCTGGAAAACTGGAGGCAGAGGAGGTGGGCTGGGAAGGGCTGGTGCGTGCGGGTCATCCCTCCAGCAGGAACCGCTCCTGGAAACATGTTCGCTTTCCCCGCTTGCCATGGCTTGCAGCCCGGTGGGAGATGGTGGTCCGCTGCCCGTCATGGTCACACGCTCCCAGCCCCACGGCGGCCGGCAGCTCCCGCATGGCTGGGCTGGTG